TACAACTAATTCTTGGATGTAACCAATACTGTTTTCTCCTTCTGGGATTCTACTGGGAACACACACACACACACACACACACACACACACACACACACACGTACACACGCACGCGCGCGCATGCGCACACGCACTCTTTAGGATATATGTTCTTTCTTTTTACCTAATATTTTCATCTAATCCTTTTCTTCTGAGTCCTTGAAGATTTTCTTGTGCTTCACTTCACATTCTCTGCTTTAATCTCCTATAGCATCTAATATGGTTTACTGCTTCCTTTGGAGCTTAAAATCCAATGGTCAGTATGTTTATCTTTCAACTACTCACCTTAGGAAAGTCACCAGTGATTCCCCCCATATTCACCACTGATGGTGTCTGTGGTCCTCATCTCCCTTGTTGGCTGTGCTATTGATGTCACCTCCAGTCCTTCCTTGAATTCGTTTCTGCCATGCATCCATGACACCATGCTCCCTGGCTCTGCTCCTAACTTTCTTCTCCTCAGTCTCTTTCTCTTCCCCACCCCAATTTGAGTTCTTGAATTCCACCATAGTCTTTCCTCTGTTCTCCACAAATTCTCCCTGGAAAATCTCACTCCTCCCCATGTCCACTATCCATTTGCCAAGTATTGAGAGAGCTCCGACCTCATTTAAAGGGCGCTTCTGCCTGTATGTTTCAACACCAAACTCACTGCCTCAACTTTGCTGCTGCCAATATCCATGGCACCATCACACACCCAGCTGCCCAAGATAGACTCTCAGAGTCATCCTGGACTGTTTCCTTTCCCACATCTGTCCTGTTTAGTCACCGCATGCTGTGGACTCTACAATATGTCCCTGCTTTCTCTCGAGTATCATAGTTTTCAGGGTTTTTGTTTTTGTTTATTTTTGCTATGCTTCTTATCTTTTTTTTTTTTTTGAGACAGAGTCTCACTCTGTCAGACTGGACTGCAACGCCATGCTCATTGCCACCACAGCCTCGACCTGTTGGGCTCAGGTGATCCTTCCACCTCAGCCTCCTGAGTAGCTGGGTCTACAGGAATGTGCCACCACGCCCCACTGATTTTTTTATTTATTGTAGAGACGGGGTCTCGCCAAGTTACCTGGGCTGGTCTCAAACCCGCGGGCTCAGGCCATCCTCTCGTCTCAGTTTCCCAGAGTACTGGGATTACAGGTGTGAGCCATCGCGCTTGGTCTTGCTTTTTATCTTTGACTACAACCTCATTATATGTCTTCCCAAAGTACATATTTAACCATGTCGGTTATCTGTCAAAACCATTTCAATGGGTTCTGTAACACGTTAAATTCTAAACAACTTGTGACATGCAAGACTTTCTATTATCTAGTTCCAATAACCTTTTCTTTTCTTTTCTTTTCTTTTTTTTTTTTTGAGTTGGAG